ACTCAGCTCTGGTTTGGTTTGGTTTTGATGCTTTCCCCATTCATCTTTTTGTTAAGGTAAATGTGATGGCTGGAGCAGCAAGAGCCATATTGGACTTTGAAGACAGAAAGATGTGCACTTACGGTGGCAAAGTTGAGTGACAGTGGAACTAGGGGCTCAGAAGCCCAATACAGACCCTGTGGAGTTTAGGAGGAAGTTTAGGAGACCCACATTATGTAGAGATAACTCACCATGTTTAAGAAATCATTTTTTGACCTTTCAGATATATGTAGCTCAATGCAATTCCCATTTGGTAAGTACCGGTGGACTAGTAGGATTCGGTATTTGGCCACTTCGGAGACTTGAAGCCCCTGTGTGAGGGTGAACCCTTACCACTAAGCTCATCATCGCATCACAGGGTCAACATCAGGCTGGCGTAACTGCCATTGTGCAAAGTGACCACAGGCCTCAGACTCGGGGGCTCTGGTCACACACAAGACCCATGCGCTTAACCGACTAGACAAGGACATTTGCTGGGGGCCCACTATGTGTCACATGCTGCACCGCAGTGGGAGGGAACTGCCACCTCCCCTGGGAGAGCCCGGCCCCCTGGCCCCGCTGTGCACTCCTGCTCAGCCCAGCGGCACGTGGCCCGGCGTGAGGGCGAGGGCCACCGCACAGCTGCCTGGAGCCGTGGTGGTCCAGGTCGCCTGCCACCTTGCAGTGGGGACCTCCGCGCTGAGAGCAGGGGACACAGGAGACACAGAGGCTGGGAAGGTGAGCCTGGTGGTTACATAGGCGCCAGCGCCCTGCAGCCACCCAGCAGCGTTTCCTGTTGCCTCTCCTGACTGGAGGGACCTTCCCAGCTGCCTGGGACCAGCCTTGGCCAGCCAAAACTGGGGGCGACTCGTCTCACTTCCAAGTGGGCGTTTCAAGAGGACGTAGGTGTTTGCCAGGATTCTGCTACTGAGGGCCTCCCTCTGCCTGGGCCCCTGAGCCAGACCCTGCCCCTCAACCTGTGATGAGTGGAGCCGCCGCTCGCTACTCCCATCCTGACGGGTCCAGGCACTGCTGTCTCTGTCTCTGGGTGGAGAAGGGGCAGGGCAGACTCACAGAAGGACTTTCATGCAAAGCACAATCATAAAGAGACTTGAATTTGGTGACAGTTCAGTGAGAGTCTGGGAGGGCAGGTAAGGGACAGATGGCCCATATGGGGCACCTGTGGACAGACAAGATGAACTCTGCAGAGGTGACTTGAACGTAGAACCCGTTCATGAAAACTCCCAGATTCAGTAAACTAAGAGCTCGAAATGGAGTTAGTAAAGCAAACTCAGAATAAGGCGGTCCTCGAGGTGACAGACCAAGGACCAAACGGACCTGCAGAGGCCAGGACACAGCCACCAGGAAAGGTCGGCTGGCTCCAAAGCAGAGAGCCCAATTCACCCAGGCCAACTGCCCCCTCTTCCTGGGCAGCAGGGAAGAGCCACACCCCAGAGGGGAGTTCAGGGCGCCAGGAGGGTGGCAAGATGCTGGCCAGAGAGGGGGCCGCTCGGGCGAAGGCGGGGCTCGCAGGCTCTGCGCAGAGGAGAAGGCCCCCTGTGACCAGGTGTTTCTAGCAGAGAGGCCCCATGTGAGAAGGCAGGGGACTGGCCACCAAACCCTCAGGTAGGAGTCTGGGGCCCGAGGAGCCGGCCGCCCCCTGCCAGGGGAACAGCACATCCAAGGGAGACCCAGAACAGCCCGAGGGTTTGTTTTTAGGGAACCGGTGATAGGCAACTGGAAGTCAGCTTGCCGGCAGGACCAGCAGCCGGACTGAATCGATAGGAGCGTAGGAGGAATCGGGGCCATCCGGGGTCTGCGCAGGGCCAACAGGGCTTTCTGTTACCCTGACAGCAAACAGGTCTCAGGACGGCAACCGTGAGTGGGGGAAGGCGGGGGAGAGGGAACGAGGACACAGGTCCCCCCGCTTTCAAGTGAGAAGCGCGAGGGCCGCGCAGGGATGAATGTTATGTCCCAAGGGCCTCCAACGTCCAGCACCCGCACTGGCTTCTCTCGAGGGATCTTGGAGGCCACGACGTCACTGGGTAAATGAACGTGGTTTAGGTTCGGCTGTGCTTTTGGTGTCAGTGCGTGTTCCCCTCTGTGGACAGGTGCTGTGGGGGACACGGATGACACTGCCATGACTGTCTGCCTCTGAACTCCAGTGCTTTGGTCCCCTCACCCCAGGGAACCAAGCAGGGCTGGACGGGGCTTGGTCAGCTGTAGGCTGTGCCCTGCCTGGGTCCAGCAGAGCCGTCCACGTGAACAGAGGGCCCCAGCCTGCCTCCACCCAGTGTGAGATGCCGAGGCCCGTGGGACAGTGGCGGAGCCCATGGCCTGCCTAACACTCCCAGTGCCCAAAGAAGGCCGCTCCCAGGCCCCACGGAAGCCCCTGAAGCCGTCCAAGCCGGCATTTCACCACCCTCCTGGTGGCAAAATGATTCCTCCTGGAAGCCGGACATGTCTTCTCTGCACTGTGCCCTTTCTCTGGCCCAGTCCTGTCTTGAGGTCACCTGACAGATTTCCCATCAGTCCTCCGTGGCTTCCACTCCTCACCTCCAAGGCCCAAGCTCCAGCCCTCCAACCTCACCTTCCCGGCACGGCTCCCGGGTTGCTCAGGACTCAACAACCAGAGCAAACACCCTGGAAGGTCTGGGCTGGGCTTAGGTCAGGGTCCCCAAGGAGCAGCCACGCACACGGGCCGGTGGCCGGCCATGGCCCATGATGCTCCTCCAGCCTCCCGCGCGCGGCTGGCGCTCTGTTATGAATCCCCCGTCACAGACCCACCTGGGCTCCGGGGCCTGCTCAACGTGGGCGGGGGACGCGCTTGGAGGTGAGATCCCACGAGCAGGGGTGTCCCCTCTTCCGGGGGAGCTGCAGCCAAGTGCCTGCTCCTTGGTCCCTTTTGGACACCACCTTCACACCCGTCTCTTCTCAGGAAGCCGACTCTGCCCTGCCCCAGAGCCTCTCATCAGCCAGCATCAGCCCTTCCTCCCGTCCCCTCCCGAGAGGACGCCTGGGCCCGGTGCTGGCCACAGGAAGCTGCCGGGGCTGTGGTCCCGGGTTCTTCACACCTCTCCCCAGAGGTCCCCAAGGAGGTGCTGTCCTGACTGGGTAGGATCAGGGCAGGACACGCCCTTCAGAGCTGCCACTACCCTCTACAAACACAAGGGTGACTCCAACAGGAAAGCCCAGACCCGTGGACGGCTGAGGAGAGGAAAAGGGCAGGCCGGGAGGTCAGCCATCCGCTGCCAGGTGTCCAGCCTGGACAGCGTTGATGTGAGAGGAGAAACCCCCAGACCAGCGTGGCCCCAGACCAGCAGCATAAGCATCTGGAACTCCTTAGAGACTAGAATTGGGCCCAGCCCTCGACCCAGTGGAGACGTCCAGCCCTGAGCCCAGGCGTGGGTCTCCACAGCCGCCAGTGATGCTGACCAACACCACCAAGCCCCCCAGCTGCTGTGAGAGCTGCTGTCCCCCAGTCCACAGACCGGACGTCCCGCCCAAGTGAGGACACAGGAGGTGGGCCTCCGCGAGGCGGCTGGGTCCCAGGGTGGAGCCCTCACGAGTGGAACCCCAGAGAGCTGCAGGGTCACCAGAGCCCAGCAAAGGCACTCACCTCACCAACCAGGAGGCAGACCCCAGACCCACTCACCAACCAGGACGCAGACCCGAGACCCATGGAGCCTTGTGTTTGTTCACAAGCCAAACGTTCTATGGCTTTTTATTCTAACAGCCCAAACCCCTCTAAGAGCCTCTGAATTGGGTTTGCAGCCGAATGCACGGTGGCACAGCTACTTGGTCGCATTTTGTGTATCTTTCTAGGAAAAAGCCCATTAGTGCGATGCTTTTGTTTTATGTCAGCATTGCCCCCAAACAGAGTGACGTCGTACAAGGCTGTGGAGATCCTGCCATGTGGCATCTGCCCTGGAGACACCCCCAGCCCCGAGCAGGCTGGGAAGGGGCTGGGCAGCGGTCAGGATGGAGCTCCTCCAAAATCAGCCCCGAGGGAGCTCTGTCTGGCACCCCCTGGGCTTTCCTGAGGAACTCCAGAGTGACCCGAGTCCTTCGAGACCTCTGGACTCCGCACAAGCACCCGAGCTGGGCTCCCGCAGGCCGCCCACCTGGCAGGGCTGGCTTCACTCGCCCTCCCAGCACCACGACAGGGACTGACCACGTGAGCCCCCTGCAGCGCACACCGCCTGCCCCAGTGACCGACAGGCTCCTCCCAACACTCCACTGAGGCAGGGACAGGCACACGGGGCTAGAGTGACACACCCACAAGCTCCCCCACTCCAGGGTGCACCCATCCTGCCCACCTTCCAGAATGCTCTGATTTCATGTTTTCAAGGGAGAAGCCCACACGTGACGTGACCATGATTTTAGGGCAAAGTGATTTCTAACAAGGAGGCTGGACTGTGTTTGATAAGGGTCAGCTGCCATCATCTTTGTGTTTTCTGCCTGCTGAGCTGCACCCGCTGGGTCTGAGGATCACACTGCCTGGCACTCTGGAGGAATGTGCTGGTGGATCTTCTTGTGTCTATGCGTCAGGGAGAGAGCACAGAGGAGAGAAGGTGGGATTGACTCCTGCCACTCATGAGCTGTGTGTCTGAGAAAAGTCACTTAACCTCTCTGTGCTGCAGTCTCCTCATCCATAAACCTGGAATGGCAACTCCTCCCTCTGAGGCTGTTATGGGCTATGAAGGAGTTCATATCCATAAAGCGTTTAGAAGAGCACACAGCCCGCTGAACTGTGTCTTGTAAATAAAGAGGTTTTTTTCTTAGCACATTAATTTTTCATTAAGTTTTGTGATTTAAGGAACATTTTCTGGTTTCTAGAATAAAAGTTTTAAAATTAGAAAGTATCCAAGGAAGTCTATTTAGGAGCCTAATATTTATTCATTGACTCTAAAACCCCAGGAGCAGATTGGCTTTCTGTGACATTCAGAATCCGTGCAGGAAAAAATATCCTCCGAGCGTCGTTCATTTCATAAATAATGTATTTTATTTTATTGCATATGGCTATTAAGGAGGGCATCCATGGTCAATACAGACTAAATACAATGCGCTACTCTAGTCCAGTTTTCTCTCGTCTCCAGCAGCGACCCGTCGACCCTCTGTACAGAGCGTACAGCGGAAGACGGAGCAGGGTAGGTTGAGTCTCTCGTCCTAACACAACACGAGAAATATATTTAACATCTTGATATCCAGAAACAATACGTACCCAAAGAAAACACTGTTTAATAACTGTTAAAGTTTATATAGCAAAAAAATATTTTAAATTTAAGGTAAGTCAGGCAAAATGTACAAAGACCCAATGTACATTGTGAAGTTTTAGCAAACATAACATTTACACATTTTGGTTCCATTCTGTAAACTAAATTAAAAATGTAAATATTGCATATGCCTTTTTTTTTTTTTCCTTTTTGAAATGTACAGGATAGAGGGAAATTTAGTACATCATCAACTTTGTATTCTTCTCCTTCTAAGTGGCAGCAGGGACATGGACGCCCTGTCCGTGCCACGACTCCTCCCGCACCGTGTCCAGCAGGTCCCCATCATCCTACTGTGCTGGGGGACTCTCAGCAAACCACTGGGGGCTCCTAGTCCCCAACCAGAGAGAACTTTAGGGCCTTTTATCCATCTTACCAATGTGTGTACAGGACGCTCGGGAGCTGACGGTCAGACCAGAACTGCGTGGCCTATGCGTCATGGTGACGTGTGATTTCAGAAAAGAAAGACCTTGAGAATGCTCAGGGGGATCACTTTACATTCAACTTTGTCTTGCAATACAATCCTCTGTTCTGAATTCAGCACGGAAGCAGGAAGACGTTTGCATTGCCGTTAAATAGGTTTTTAAGACATTGAATCTTTTGGTCTTCCTCTAGAAAGCCTCATTTGATTAATGCATTATTCTATAGTGATATAGATCTCTATATATTTATATTTATATATATATTTTTTCTCCAAACAGAAACAAAACAACAACAACAAAAAAACCCCAAACAGACCAACAACTCACATCTCCAAGAACGAGTGTAGCCTCTGCAGGACCTCCAGGGGCACAGGCACTGGGGGAGGCCGAGCCTCCAGAGTGTGTCGAGGGAGCAGCCAGGGGCCCACAGTCTGCTGGCAAGCTTAGCCATGCTGGGTGACGTCTGTGATGATCGATAACGGCCACAACACTGAGATTTTCAGAACACTGAAAATGTGAGACCAGGGTGGTCTTGTCAAGGATTTCTTTGACAAGTGACGTGCACTGTGAGAGACTGGTTTTCTTCTCCTTCCACTCCAGCACAGGAGCTTAGCTACAATGCCTCTCTCTATCAGTCTCTCTCTCTCTTCAGGGCAGCCTTGTTGGCCAACGCGAGAGCAGTAGTCGATACCTTTCAAACATTAAGCCTGCAGGCCCCAGCAGCCTGAACCACCAGCATGCCTACACGAGGTTTTGGTTAAGAGAACGTAAGCTCAGGATTCAGGACAGCAGGGCCTCTGAGCTCCTGCAGGGGAGAAAAGGCTTTTGCAACTTGAAGTACCTACACGAACAGCTACACAGAGAAGGATAGACAAGCCTGTTAAAGGTAAAAAGAGAGAGTCACCCGCCCAGGACCCCTCCCTCCCACCCCACCACCCAATACAACTGATGATTTTCAAAAGTAGGTTGCTTCAGTTACACTTAATAATGATTATTTACGAATCCATCTTCAAAGTCCAATCCCAGATTTCACTTCCATGGAGAACTGTCAGTCCCACTCTGGGCTCCGTGCACCAGTAAACATCGCAGGTACCTGGACTGGAATCTGTGTCCACTCGAGCAGGTCGGCGAGGCCAAGGCCACGCTCGAGCCCTGGGGTGGACGTGCAGGAAGCCTCTGCACCCCGACCACGTGATCCGGCGTTACCTTGGACTGAGGTAGGACTGTGGTAGAGTTGAGTGTAAGCCAGTAAATACCAGATTTTACCACTTCGGTGGGTATTGTAGCATCTCCTAGCATGCTGAGGGATAGATCTGCTTTGCCAAAGTAAAAGTAAGAAGAAATGAACACACCGGCCACGATTTAAGAAGGCCAATAAAAACATCCAATTTGCTCCAGAATAACTTCTTCGGCTAATTTAAGTTATAAAATAAAACAAAATGCAACACACACTGCACAATGACGCATGCCCCGGCCGGGACAAGTGAGAGAGGCAGGCGCTCGGGCCTGGTTGGTTCCTGTCCAGTTCAGAGGTCTCCACGTGGAATCGCCCAGATCCGACAGACGTCGCATGCAGCCTCGGTGGGAAATACGCTGAGATCTCCGCTGTCGACCTCCGGGCGGTGCAGCCGGATGGCGCTTCATTCTGAAAGAGAGAGCAGAGAACTCAGGAGTGACTCGAGAGCGGGGTGGTCTCGGGGCTCCCGAAAAGACCCCCGACCTGCGCTTATGGTCCGCGTGGGTTCCACAGAAGGAGGCGCGTGGAGAAGCAAACGTGGCCTCACTCCGCGTGCAGGACAGCTGAGCTGGCCCACTGACCTGGGAGCGGCACTGAGGCGCACCTGAGCGGCCGTCTGTGAGGCGAGGTTTGCTTTTCAATCTAAGACAGACTCGTGCACTTCTGTGAGTGGCTCCATCAACGAGCCATGCGAGATGGAGAGGCAAGAGTCTGCTTCCCCCTGAGCACCTGGGAACCACCCCAGGTCAGGGGAGTAGAAGAACTATCTTCCTCTCAGGGCTGCTGAGAAGGTGAAGTTATAGCAGAGTCGTGAGGTGTCCCCAGAAGCTCCTATGTGAGACAATGAAGAAGGTTCCGAGGGGAAATGATGAGAGGGGTCACCTAACAGGCGCATCAGTCCACCGAGGGATTAAATGGGTGGTGACCACAGGCAGGTGGGGAGTGGCTGGAGGGGGTGTCCCAGGTGCTGGGACTGAGCCAGGGCCTTGGGCCTGTGAGGCAAGCCCCCTACCACCTGAGCTGCACCCCAGCCTGGTCAGCAGAGCTCTCTCTCTCTGACTGCTGCCAAGTCCTGAGCTGGTCTCCGCCATCCCCTCTTGCTATGAGGTTCTGCCTCACCTCGGCCCCGGGGCAGGAGGGTCAGCCATCTATGGACTGGACCTCGGGATCTGTGAGCCAGATCACCTGTCCTCCTCTAACTGTCCTTGTGAGCGGGAAAAGCCGATGACCACCCCCCTGGAGAGCTCAGTAAACTGTCACTGTACGAGCAGCAGAAAGCTCTTCCTGGTGGAGGACCTCGCCCTGACAATGCCCAGCATGATGCCAGCCTGATGCCCCTGCTGGGCTGGGCGGGGGGTGGTGCCTTTCCTGGGGCCCCGAGCGCAGTTCTCCTCACAGCTCACCTCACCAGGCACACCAGCTCGGACGGCCCTGGCACCTCACATCCTGCCGCCTTTTTGTTTTTTAAAAAAAAAAATTTAGTTTCTTGGCTGTTTAACCCAAAACCCGCACTGTGAATCGAGGACAGCAGCCAGGTTGAGGGAACCCTGCTAGCTCTGGCTGCTGGGTCTCAGGGCAGGCAGATCTCTCCCTCGGAGCCGAGCCTGCCCGACCTGCAGAGCTGCAGGGGCCTCTGAGGCTGGGGGAGCCTGGCCCTCATTCGCCTCACGCCCCACGATCCTTTTCTGTGACTCTGATTCCTTCTTCCCCATCTGGAGTTCAGAGGACTGCCCCCAGCAAGAGAGCTGCTGACTGAGACCACCACCGGCAACTCCAGGTCTCACCCCCCGTCTTCACACCTCCCTGGGAGTGACATTGAGGCTAGGTGGCTTTTCCTTATTTTTTAAATGAAGTTGATGTCCTTCAAAAATCAAAAGGTAAACCATGTTCTGCAGACAGAAGCTTAACAGACAACCAGCCCCAAATTTCCTCCCAGGGAAGACAGAGCTCCAGCCCTCTGTGTCACACCATGATCTCCCACCCCAGAGCCTGCGGGGAGCACTGCCCGCATCCCTCACAAAGCCCCTCTGCTAAACTCCACTTGGACTAGAGTTTCACCCTAAAACGAGTTTGCATTTTGTCACTCAGGCCCTGAAGGGGATGAATCCTACGGCCAGATCAGGAAAGACCCTGTAATCCACGACAGAAAGTCTCTAATCAAAGTTTTATTTTCACCTTAACACTTAAGCTAAACGATGCTAAATGTCTCATGTTAGCCCTAAGCCCACTATCCTGACAACACCTCAGTACATTCTTCACTTTTGCAAACTTAGAATGTCCAGTCGTATAAATGGTGAATTCATTATTACGGGAAAAATCATTTTTTGTTCTCATGGGTGGATTCACAGGGCCACTGTGGTTGTCACCGTTTTGGGGGATGCTGGGTCCCTGAAAGCCAACTCTAGTCATTCAACCTTGATGAGCTATAATCGAGTGAACCTGTAATTCTATGGTTTGAAATGCCACAGTCATCAAGACCCTCAACTTTGAGCACGAGTGTCATACAAGCAAGAGCTAAGCAGCAGCAAGCAGCCCTCATTCAATTGCTCAGGCTGGGGTGCAGCTCAGGCGGTAGGGCTTGCCTCACAGGCCCAAGGCCCTGGCTCAGTCCCAGCACCTGGGGCCCCCCCCCCCAGCCACTCCCCACCTGCCTATGGTCACCAATAAGCTTTCAATAAGCTTCTTCTGAAATTCTACTCTGGGGCCAGGTCTCATGGATGCCCTGGGGGAGGGCATAGGAAAGCCAGGGGAGGGAGACCAGACCCAGGCTGGCCCTCAGCCTGCAGATGGCCTGCCAGCCCGGGACGTGTGGTCCCTCAAACCCACTCATGTCCACACGGGGCACCAGGGCGAACACACGGAGATGTGACTTGTCTCCTGCTGTGGCTACCTCCTATGGGGGAGCGGCCGAGACCTCTGGGCCTCCCGGGGGACCGTCAGGCTCTAGCTCGGGGACCTCAGCACCTCGCCGCTCAGACCAGCTGGCTCTCCCCCTCGGCCCCTCTGTGGGAGGCGGCTGCTGGCTCAGGGAAGGCCTGCGATGCCCAGGGGCACCACACAAATGCCAGCGGACCAGCCGTCGAGGCAAGGCAGAGGCAAAGCGAGGGGAAGCGAGGAGAGAGAGAGAGGAGAGAGAGACCCTTGCTCGGCTGCCAGGCACAGCAGAAGGACGCAGCTGCCAGGGGACCTCAGAACACGAATGCCAGGAAGGACGCGGGGAAAGGAGTCCTGTGGGAAACTGACCGCAAGCTTCCCGTGATCACAGAAAGAAGGACCGAGGCAGAAACTGGCCGTCTCCACTCATACCAAGACACCTCTGTCCCTTCCATTATCGAAAGGGCAAAATGTGCCTGTCCCCTGTGCTTGCTAGCAAGGACCTTGACCCAGTGTGACCAGGAGGGCGCAGGCCCCGGGGAGTGTGTGACTGAGCCCAGGTGAGCGGCAGGTGTAGGAGGTCTCTGCAGCCCCAGGCACCAGCCAGAGTCCAGCCTGGGGGAGGCCCCAGGGAAGCCCAGTGCCTGCCTCTTCTGACCACCACTCACTCCTTGGTGCCACTCCCCTGCGGCAGGGAGGAGGGCAGGGGGGGAGGCGGGAAACTCCAGTGGATCAGAACCTAGCACACAAGTGCACTCTCCCCTTCTTGTTTGTTTGTTTTTAAAGTAAGTTATTAGTCTGGTTCATTCAAAATAGGAGAAAAGAAAATATTTTCTAACACTACTCATATGATATCTTTGGTCTTTAAATATTTATGCTTCCTAAGGATGAGATCCCAGCATAAGTTTATTTATTTATGTCTGCTAGCCCCACTAGAAGCAAAGCACCGGTTCCGGCCCTGGCCACACTGCCCTGCACGCGCCCTGAGAAGGGACGCGTTCTTTGAACTCATCGGCCCAGGAGCAAAACAAAACCCAGCAGAGTCGAAATCACGGCTGCGCATGTGGTCACAGAGGGCCACACAGCATCCTGCTCCTAAAGTCAGTGCCTACTAAGAAAAGGACACTTACTCATAGTCACAGGGCTAGAATCTGCCACACCAGGCCCCTGCATGCCTCAGGCCCGGCTCTGAGCCCTGCACAGAAGCGCACTCAGGAGTCACTGGGTGAAACCAGACACAGCAGTAACCAGTACCTGTGGCACAGAAAGTGGCCCCACAGGACACGCCAGGCATCCCAGCTATTGTTCCTGTCTTTTCTCTGCGGTCCTTTGTGACAAATGGCATTCCTATGTGGGGCAGTCACATGGGCCAGCTATGATTTCACCCTTTCTCTTCCACTCAGAAGAGCAGTCAGAAGGCAAAGGTTAAAGGTCAGGCCTCCAGTCTGCCCCAAGACAGGGAGGAAGGGCGCGCCCACCACTGGGACCCAGTAAAACAAGTAGGAAGTGTCCTTGTAAAACACGGGTCAGCACCAGGGAGCTCAGGGCCACCGTCACAATCACAGGAGAAAAACCAGGGGAGCAGCAGATGCAGAATGCGTCAGCTGGGAACGAGGCAAACTTGTCCCAGCGAAGGAGATGAGACGGCGTCTGGGCACCCTGACTCACTACGGCCTTCACTTGACTTCTCATGAGAACCTGGGTTTGGACCTGTCTGAGTTCAAGGTCACTCTTCAGTGTTCAGAGTCCAGTCCACTCTGCTGGGTCAAGGCGACCCCTGCCACCAGGGCCCTGCTCCCCTGCTGACTGGCAAACCAAGCCAGGCACCTCTTGGAGCTGCATTTTGTGTCCCCGAGCCACACGACCCAGGGAGAGACCTCAGGCGCGTTCAGACCCATCTTGGGGCCAACCCAGCCCCGGTTTAGACCTTTTTCTGTTAAATACAGAATTATGAGGGAAAATAAAGTTTTCAGTTGTAGGAGAAATTCCTAGAAAAAACACGCCTGATAATTCAGTATCTCCCCATTTTACTAAAAGCAGAACAGGCCAGCCACACCAGTGAGTGTGACAACAGCACGGCTGTGTGTGATAACGAGCCAGGGATTCTGAGAAAAACGGTCACTTTAACTTCCTTTTAAATTGGGGAAACAAATCACTTAGAAGGAAAATGTGGATGAATAAGCTCCTGCGCTGTGGGGACACTGTCCACCAACCTGCCTGCGCCAGACAGGACTCCACAGCTCCACCTGTGCCATGATGCAGACCTCCTGGTTCTGAACGCCTGTTACAGGGGAACCCCAAAACGGGGGAGCCTGCCCTGCGGCCGGCAGGAGAGCCAGCCGGGTTTCTCACGCACTGAGTTTGACTTCTGCTTGATCCTTTGTGCCAGTGAACTTAGCCACCCGGCGAACGGAGCCTCAGGGCCTCCTGGCTGTCCCATCCGTCCCCTCAACCCCCCTCCCACAGCCATCGTTCCAGGCACAGGAACAAGCGCCGGCAGGGCCCGGCCTGGCCGATGTCGGCCACAGGCTTGG